AACTAAACGTTGATAATTTAATCATAGATAAAAATAACGCAGAAAGTAGTAAAAAAGGAGTTAATAATAGTGGGCTCACTCCAGTCAATATAGGAAATCCGTTGGCACATGTAAGTATAACTAACAACGGACGACCGAAATCAAGGATGGTTTTTCAATAGATTCCGAAGGCTAGGTAACCCTTAAAATCATATGGCTGTAGTTCATTCTTTTAGTATTCTTTTATAAAAGGAATCCTTAAAGGAAGTTCTATTTTCAAAGATTACCTAGCCTTTTCTGCTTTACTTAATAAAGAATATATTGAGAGAGCTACAACTGTGTTGCAATATACCGGAGGACTCACATTTGAGAAGTTGTCTGTGGGAAGACGTCCGGTTTGGTGTCTAGGTGAATACAGCCCTGGAGGGTCCAGTAATCTGGTGAGTTATCTGCCTCTGTCGCCGAGCGCTGCAAACGGAGGGACAACAGACTCTTGCACGGACTCAGCTGGCCAGGCTGAGCCGCTGTGGTCAGGGGCACTGTATGTCTGGAGCCTTGTATGATGTCGGCTTCCTGTCAGTAGGCTCGGGAGGCAGAGCGGTGGTTCGTGTGGTGGCTCGGGAGGCAGGTGCCGGCGGAAGTTGTGAAGAGGTCAAAAGAGTATCGGGGACTGATGCAAGCTGGGTCGGTAGCTACGCGTTTCGAGGCAGAGCCTCTTTGTCAAGCTGTGATCGGCCAAAATAGGTGGAGATTGCGGGAGAAACACTTGGGTTTAAAAATGACAGCTGGGCGGAGTTAGGATCTCAACAGCCATCCTAATAGGTAGAATTGTGAGAAGGGGAGTGTGTTAATACCCGCCCACTCAATTAGGAAACGGCACTTGCGTGGCTCAAGGGTATAAAAGGATTACATCTGGTATTGTGTTATGGAAACATGTATAAAAACGGATGTTAAAGCTAAAAATCTTCATTTATTATAAGTCTAACATTGTTTAAAAAAATAGATAATTGAATAAAAAACGGTGAATAAAAGTATCCAATGTTGGTGTAACATTGAACACTAGGTGCAATTTAAAGAAACCTCACCCATCTGGTGGGATCTGGTGGTGTGAGATTAAAAACACTAAGAGATGGAAAGGATCTAGATGGTGGTGTGCCTAGTGTGTATAGCCAATAAAATTTATAAAATGGTATTAATTTCAATTTCCTCATTGAGACCTATTGGAACCAAGGTGTTTAGCTTGTTTATCCAATAGGTCTCTCTTTTGCAGAGGAGATGGAACCTTTCTGCTTTACTTAATGTTGTTCAAAAGTAGATCTCTGCTTCAGGTCTTTGATCTTTGCCAGCATTGTGGACAGTGCAGACTTTGCAGCCAAAACAGACAACCTGTCAGTGCTTCAGGTTCCTATAAGCTCTAAAAGATTATAAATCACTCAATATTTTCAGGCAAGAAACAGTATTTTCAGATATTATCAGAGATGCCTGTTATTGTGGAAAAGCTGCATATGGCCTGGACAAATCATTGTCTTTGTTCATAGATAAAAAGCACCTAGCTTTCACCTTCCATGGTGCCTCACCTGTAAGACAAAAAAAAACAAAAACACATCCTGGAGGCGGGGCGCAATGACACCACATGACGTCGCGCGTGTGCGGCCGCGTCTGACGTCATATGCCTGTTGGGGTGGCACAATTTTTTGTTCTTACCTCGGGCGCAAAAGGAGCAAGCTACAGCTCTGGTGATCTGGGTTGGGAAGAAGAAGGCATCAGTTTCTGACACTGATAAGTGTTTCGTTTAAGAAGAGGCAGTTATACTGTATAACCACCCAGAGTTCCAAGACAGGCCTCTGAAGGGATATTTTAGGAAGCCAGTCACCAGTTGTTGGAGGGTGGCAATTGTTTTCGACAAATGCTTGCAGGTCATAGATTTCCTCAGTCTCAGTTTAACTTTGTTCCAGTGTGGATATGTATTAATGATTTATTTGTATTACAAAATACACTATACAAAATCTGATATATTTAGAGGGTAATAGCAGTAGCACAAGTGGTTTTACAGCACAGTGAAAAAATATCAGCTACAGCGGATGCATTTATGTCATATTGCCGCCACCTATGAAGTGTTATTACTCTGTTAAAATTACTTCAACAATTTATTTATTTGCTAAAGACAGTCTCTATCAATAACCAGGGTACAGCTCAGAAGAAAATGGGAAGCTTTGATTCACTGTGCGTTGAAGGTATAAGGTATTATACAAGTACAATAGTTTGTAGTTTATAGCACAGTTTCTTGAGATTTCTTGAGAACTGGCTGTACTTGCAGCCAATTGCGACTTCTATACCTTTACCAAATTAAGAACACTAGAAGAAAATATTTATCCACACAAGGAAAAGTATCCAAGCCCATTAATACCCAAGTGTTTCATTGTGGTACATTAATGCACACACGTTAACGTGACTTATGGCACGTGTTAATATGCACTGCATTCAGGGAGCCCATTTATCATAAATGGGCTGCCAATGCATCACAATGGATACAAAAAAGCACAAATCTTTGTTAACAATACAGTGCACTGCAACACACGATATGCATGTTGCGGTGTGCTGTTGGGCTCTACAGACCATGAAAGATGTTGCAACGTGCTGCACAGAGCAGGTGCGTTGCCATGCGCTGTTGCTTCAATGAACAAGTGTTAATGGGCTGTCCATGTTTTACCTGATTTTCCAATGAGTTTTAACAATTTGTTAAAATAAAAGTCTGCCCAGGTCTATGGAAAGAGGCAGTGTAAAGAACAGGGATGCAAAGTAGAGTATCTAAAACAAAAATCAGGTTTCATCTTTTGTCAGTGTAATAGCAGTCAGAATAATGAGATACTTATGATTGGTGATTACTTGCTATGGGTTACTGCACCTTATACAATACGCATTAACTTTGTAATAAAAACCTGTAATCAGAGGAGTACAGGGATTATATTGCTGACCTCTTTCAGAAACCAGATGTCTCGCTGTCCCTTGTTTCAAGTCATTCATAGTAGACCCAGAGCAAGCATCTGAATTAGATAGCCCAAACTCTTACAAATTGGATACTGTACTTGTGTTTGGCCAGTGCCTCAGGTAGTATTTAAGGCTTTTGATAAGCATGACAGCTATACAACTATTTTTTTTAAATGGCAATCTCCATATTATCTCCATAAAGGTTTCCTTTCATATGTAAACTGGGATGAGTTTAAAAAAAACAAAAACAAAAATCAGTATAAACAATAGAGCCATTAGCTACCGAACGAAGCAGATTTCAACTTTAAAATAAAGCAATTGAGATCGGTTGCTTCCTTTTTGCTACTTGGAACTCCAATGATTTCAGTGGGCAAGCAGGAGTTATATGCCATATGTTAAAATCTCTTAGAACTATGGTAAGGCAGACTGTAAGTACATTGCTAAAATGTCCATGAAACGAGAACACTTTTCTTCTGAGACAGCATGTGAAATCATATCTGGAGGTCTCAGAAAAGCTAATGTGTCAATGTTTACTTGCAGCTGCTGTGCCCTGTCTGACACCAAAATGAAGGGTCATAAAAGAGTTTTCCTCTATAACCCACTCTCCACTTCTATCATGTAACATATGAGCAAACAAAAACATCTCCTCAGTCTTATTCAGTAAATCATTGTCAGCCTATCCCCATCACCTTTATGTGCTGTCTGTGCATTGCTTGGTTGAGTACAGTACTTAGCCAGACTACTTGCCATAAATGAAGGATATCTGTTGTGTAACATGCTAGAAATGGCTGCTTTCATAACTGCTCAGCTTCTATACATAAACTTCTTTGGTTACAAGCTAACAGCTGGTTCAAATTCCACTATTATCATCCAGGAACAGTATGAGAACATTAAAAGTATATGATTTGGGAGCTTTTTAGAAAAATAAAATGTTGTAGTTTTGTATTTTATATTATTCAGTGTGAGTTATAACACTCCGTCAGAAGCATATATCATTTTAGTATCAGAGAGGATTCTAAACTTACATAAGAGTTAAAGCAAACTTTTGGGTAGACACACATATAAGACAGCCGCTTAATGCTCAGCATTAGGATTTCCATTATATTCAATAGTGAGAGCTCACACCTGAGCTTAGTTTTGCTTTTAGCTTGAAGCTTCACGCTCATAAAAGTATGTGATCTTCTAAAAATAGGGAAGTTGCATTTTTAAATAATTTTAAAGCTTTGCTATGTGAATGGAAACATGTAACAATATAAAATAAGTGTTATCTCAATTTGGCTGCAACAATTGAACTATACTTTAAAGTAGAACTGAAGTCAACATTTTTTTTAGCTTTAGATAGAGTAAGGGAGGGTTATATTGCTGTCAGCTTTTTTTTTTACCATCTGTGTTCCATTGGCAAGATTTCCCTTCACTTCTTGTTTATTAACCACCATGGGAAGTGAGAGGAATTCCTTCTAAAGAGAATGAAAATCCCTGGTGGTCAGTAGGGTCAACAGAACTAGTGTCTCCATTGGGAAATTTCCCATCTATTCCTGTTCTGATGACCACATACATTTTGGAATTTAGTTTTTCTTTCACTTGATAATGGTCACCCAGGAACAAAGACAGCAATAAAAACATGACAGGTGTTTTAATCCATCTCCACAAAACTAAAAAAAAGTTTGCTTCCATTGCAAAAAGTTTTCTTTTTATTTAGTGCCATTATAGTATTACTGCAACCAGGCCACTCTTCTCTATTCGAAATGAATGACAGATGCCAGTCTATAACTGGGCAATGTAAACAGGGATTATCAGTCATGGAAAGTTTTGATGATGTGCCTAAATTTTAGCATTATGTCACAAGGAGTTCTTCAAGGTTAAACAATGCATAGCTACAAAGTCAAATCTAATGCAACATCATAATTATTGTGATTAGCAGAGCAAACTAAAGACATTTAAATTGAATAATAGGTAAAGAAAACTGCAGGTGAATGAATGGAATAGCCCAAAAATTACCTTTGCATTAAAAAAAAATGTTTCTATTTATTTAGCTGAAAGAATCATTTAAAGATCTGAAGAAAAAGTTTAACAACCTGAAATTTAACTACACAAAAAAAGCCGATAAAGGGAGGAATCTGAAAGTAATTAAGAATCAGCTACAGCAAGTCGAAATGTATGCTGAAAGAATTCAGGTGGGTGCTGTGAAACAACTGCCAAAATTGTGCTATTTTTTTTTCCAATATAATTACACATTTGTAAGTTTAATGATTGTAAAATATGCAGGTAACATTTTAAGATACAAATTGGGCTGTTTTCTTGTTATAGGCTTGCAGTTTGGAAAAAGAATATTATGTGTCATAAAATGTACTGCGAAAAGTATAACATGACAAGTTAATTGTCTATCAAGCATAGCAATGTAGTACTGAAAATGCACATAATAATGTCACTTCTAGCTGTGCATATTCAGTAAATATTCAGTAAAGATACTGCATACATAAATTTGGAGGTTCTGCTTTAGTAGGGCTATGATTTCTTGCAATAGTCAAAAACATACTGGAAAAAAATTTGCCTTATGGTGTCTGCATGTTTTATGACCATAAAGTTTATGCAGGCGTAGGCAACCTCAGGTTAGACAAAAATTTGTTTCTTCTATGGCCAGCTTAACGTTTGTGACCTGCATTAGCTTTGACAGCTAGGGACTATACAATATAAAATGAATAGATTGTTTTAGTCAGCAGGTTCTTGCCAGACCAACCTGCTGACCTTTTACGAAGAGGTAAGTAGAGATCTGGATGGGGGGAGGCCGGTGGACGTAGTATATCTGGACTTTTCCAAAGCATTTGATACGGTGCCACATAAACGCTTGTTATACAAGCTAAGGGCTATGGGCATAGATGAATTAGTGTGTATGTGGATAGAAAACTGGCTACGAGAACGTGCACAAAGAGTATCAGTAAATGGCACCTTTTCAGACTGGGCTGAGGTCATGAGTGGCGTGCTCCAGGGTTCTGTGCTGGGTCCATGCTTTTTACCCTATTTATTAATGATATCGGGGAGGGAGTGAATAGCCATGTCTCAGTGTTTGCTGATGATACTAAAATTGGGAGGGTAGTAGACACAGATTTAGAAATTATAACATTACAGGGGGACCTGGAGAAAATCGGGGTGTGGGCAACTGTATGGCAGATGAAGTTCAATGTTGATAAATGTAAGGTAATGCACCTTGGAGTTAAAAATAGGCAAATGCACTTATGGGTGTGCCACTAGGGAAGTCGGAAACGGAGAAGGATTTGGGGGTCATTATAGACCGCAGATTGAAAAACAGCTTGCAGTGCCAGGCTGCTGTAAACAAAGCAAGCAAAGTCCTGTCTTGCATTAAGAAGGGAATGTATTGCAGAGACTATAATTTTGCCACTTTACAGATCACTGGTTCGGCCACATCTGGAGTATGCGGTCCAGTTTTGGTCACCGATACTCAGAAATTATGTCCTTGAGCTGGAAAAAGTCCAGAGGAGGGCAACCAAACTTATTAAGGGGTTCGAGGACCTGAACTATGAAACAAGGTTGTTAAAATTAAATATGTTCTCTTTGGAGGTTAGGAGATTTAGGAGGGACATGATTTTCCTGTATAAAATATTCAAGGGCGACAGCAACATTATTAACAAACTGTTTACGGTTAGCACCGTAACAAAGACCAGAGGGCACAACCAAAAATTGGTGGAGAAAAAATGTAAACACACAGGGCGCAAGGGGTTCTTCACAGTCAGAGTGGTTGAGGTCTGGAACTCGCTGCCGCAGGAAGTGATCTCAGCTAAGAGTGTGGAATCATTCAAGAAACTCTTGGACGAGTTCCTCGGAGACCATAACATACAGGGGTACAGGTACGCCTAAGAGCAAAATCCCACATGGACTAATACACACGCACACACCTGCTCAAACATAAATGCATACACACAATAGGTTGGACTTGATGGACTTATGTCTTTATTTAACCTCAAATATTATGTAGTTAATCTAAAGGAGATTGTACTAAGGCTGCACAGAGTGTACCGTGTGTGGTCCGATTCCAAATGTCACTTTCCAAGATATAATTTTATCTGCTGGCCTTGGGAAATTGAAGACAGGCCTTCGTGCAGACACTGTAATACATGAGGTACATAAAATACTCCTGAATGGGAGCTGCCCAAGATCGGGTGAAGAAACGTCCATTTTTAAAAGCTCAACCTTGTCAAATCTTATTCTGCACCCAGGTTATTATGCATTGAAGACTACCATTACACGTGACAGACCTTGAAATGGTACAGGTAGAAACCTACGTTTTTATGAAAATTTCCATTCACGGAGGTGCTATACAAAGACCCTGAGGTTGATTTACCTAAATAGGAGAGGCTGTTCACTTGAAAGTGAAGTTATACTTTCACAAGTGTTTGTTCACTTTTGTTCAAAGTGAGTGATAGTGAATCCTTGAAAAAAATAAGGTACAAAAAAAAATAATCACTTAGCTTTGTGAAAATTCACTCTGATAGGTAACCAGTCTTTATTTTTTAGTAATTCCCCATGGGGTGCTAGTGTCTTTTTACAATTAGATGAAGCTGTACATGCGTTGTTTACGACTTCCTTCCCTCTGCAATGAGAAGAGGGAGGATTGGTCATGGGCAGAAATTCAGATACTGTATATTGCAAATTCTCTGTGATAGAGAGTAGTCCTGGCATGTGCATTTCTTTCTATTACTGGCTCCTATGGTGGCTCTATATGGCCCAGTCTTTACCCACATGCCCAATTGTATGATCAAAGTGGTTTATGTAAGCCATTCTTGACCTCCATTAGTAGAATGGCATTTCCAGCAGATAGAGTAGCCTTGAGTCTGTACTGGTAGACACTAAGGCATCTGTTTCCTGTCTATCAATAAACTGTGATAGCAAAAGTGACAGTCACTGATAAAATAAGACATAATGCACTTAAAATGATACCGTTCACTAGCTAACTCACTTAAATTGCAAGCCTTTACAGGAAATACATCACACAATTTGACACTCAATGGGAGCTGTGCTACTCCTGAATAAATGGCTCTTACAGCATGCACAAATGCATCAGCTTTTCATACAGCGGGAGCCAGGAAGCATTAGGTGAACATAAGAATATGTGCCAAGAGCTAATTTTTAGCATTTTTATGTATGAGCTCTCAAGACCTCTTCATCAAGCCATAGAGAGTTTTATAAGCTTGTACTTTAAATCTGCTGAATTAGCCAATACTTGGAATTATTTAAATTTGGCTTTTAATATACTGTTATTAGAAATAAAACCATAATAAGCCAGTAATTATGATGATTGAAATTATTTGCTTGTATGACACTGACAGTTGTGTGGTTCATGGATTTTATGTATTTGCAGGCTTTAAAAAAGAAAATTGATCATTTGGAAAATAAAATAGGCGCTGAAGTCCACAAAACAGATAAAATGTATGAAGCAATTTGTGAACTGCAGAAACATGTTAGTGAATTTATAAATTTGATGCAAGATTACAAAGTCTACCTTGAAATGGCTGAAGACCTACATCATATAATGGAGGAGGTGAGGAGTGTGGCATGCTTGGGTTTTTATCTGTAATGATTAAATATCTTCAGACTTAGAACATCTACAAATAAACTCTAGCCAAATGTACTATCTGTTTCTTCCTAATAACAAAAGAGTCAGTTTTGGTGTGAAGAGGCCTGTGCAACAGTTGTGCGAGTGGGACAATACTCTGCAGAATGTAAAACTATGGAAGCAGTAGAGGCACTTTTGAAGCAGTTTAACAAGTTTGTAGAGCCTACACTACCACAGCAAGAAGAGAGAACACAGCAGATGATCAACATTGCAAAACATATTTATGGTAAGCAATTTATACTTTCTGGGGTTTCCCTGTGTCCGCACCAGTTCAGCTAGATCTTTTTAAATGTCCAGACTACTATTTCATTATGTAAAACTAAAGTCAAGTCAAACTCCTATTTAAAATAATAGGCTTCAGGAGGAAAGGGCAGAGGTATGACCTTGTGAATGGCCTACTGTCCCTTTATGGCCACATCACTGCCTGGGAAATAAATTGACTTTAAAATGAGTACCATTACCACGACTTCATGAGAAGGATCATGATAAGTGCTTTCTATATGTTTACAGGAGCAGGTGATGGTATGAAGTATATTGAGAAGACGTTAGTAAAACACAAAGAAGCCATCAACACTGTGAATGATTTGTGTATCTACCTATCGGAGCTAGAAGAAAAACTGCAGGTATGGTCTAGCCAGTTTTATAAGTACTCCTAGTACTACTAGGAGTAGACTACTGGGTAGGTCAACACCTCTCAAGTGAATTTTTGCTTTGCCTGGAGCTGTTATGTCTTACTTACCTAATGGGTTTTTTATGCCACCCCAATGGTTGACATGCAACTTGCCTGTTGCCGCCATCTAACACCAGAGTTTCATAGAATGATAGAATATACATATCAATATTTATGGATTATATTACATTTTGTAGAATTTGTTTTAATGGCTCCAATAACAGTTTCTTAAGGACCTGAAGTTTATTTAAATCAATTCTAGGGTGGTATTATGTTTATACGTAGAAGCAAATAGCTCAAGTATCACTCACACTGTTGCATTTTCCTTAAATGTCACTTACCTGTAAACTGCATAGTGCACTAGACACCCAGGTGTAGCCTATTTCTTCCTTACACTTGCTCTGCCTGGTAGAGACCTGCAAAGTCCCATAACAACATTTGCAAGTGAAGCTAAGGTCTCATGCTGCTTCCAAGGCTGTGGCACTACAATGCTTTGAAATAAACCAGAATATATTACAAAGGAACAGATTGTTTCCGCAGTGGGCTGTGCAAGGACCCAGTGGGGAGAGAAAAGGGGGCTTTTTAGAAACCAGTCCAGACCTCGTATATAAAAGTCTTAGAAAAACATTTATTCACTAAATTGTTGTATACATAGTTTAGAACCAAGAAATAAAGTACAAAATCATGTGATCAATAAAAATATATATCATTAATAAAAATACATATTGAATATGCAGGTTCACCGTTAGGATTATCCATAACCTGGGGTGTGAAACATCCAGCTCCTCTAGATGCTATTTGCAACACACGCCTGCCAATATTATCCCTTAATTAAACCAGAATATATTGATTTTAAAGGGTGTGTATTAGAAAAGAAATACAGTATGGTGGCTCCCATCGCTGACTTGTTTTTTGCAGGCTGTGTGGGATTGCTCTCCCGGCTTTGCTACTTACTGAGTCAATGACCTTACTGAGTGACTGACTCTGTTTTAAAACCAGCTTCCGAATCCCAGGCCACACAGGTTAACTTTAAAGCTGAACTCAAGGTAAACAGCTAATACAGAGATTGAATACATATATGAGAGCTGTTTTACCTGTCAAAGAAATTGTATTTCTGTTTACACAATTCTGAGATTTACACAGCTTTGTCAAAAAACACAGTTCTGCCTGCATGGGGAGGGGACCTGATCTTTCTCTGCTACAGTTTCACTTTTACTTACAGGTCTCCTCCCCACATTGTGACTGGACAGTGAAGGAAAAGCAGCACACTGATGAGCTCAGGTCTCGGTCAGTCTGTTCTCTACCCATTCTCTAGCACTGCAGCACACCTGATTGGGTCATTGTCTTGCTTCTTCCTCCACCTCTATCAGCTCTGTTATACAGACTTTACTGTAGACTGCAAGATGCTGATGTGGCAAGTGAAATTCAGTTACATAAACTGTTTCAATTAAAAAATACATTCAATGATATATTACTTATTACAGATCTGTATTTTTTCTTTAATGTGTGCCTGGAGTTCAGTTTTAAGTCTATGGCTTGGATTAAGAGTGGGATGCTAATGCCTAACTGTGTAGCCAGGTAATAATATACATCTTAAGTATTAATAACTGATTTGATTTTAACAGATACAAGAGAGATACAAAAGAGAAAGAGAGATACAAAATCCAGGGGGCAAGCTCCACTAAAATGTCTGTTTTTAACAAACCGATTCCTTAATATACAAAATAAAACTGCTGTAAAATATTGAAAACAGAGTATATAAGCTAACTTGGGTTTGGATGCCTCCAAACAGTCCAACCCTGGCCCTAATTCATGGGCTTAATGCAACACTAAGGTGAGGATTCCACTATTTTTGGTATTCTAATGGGATGAAAACAAAAGAACAAAAGGCTTTGTTATTGGATGCAATAGTTATTGGTTACAGAGCTTTATCTGTTTTGTTAGACAATCTGAGTGACTGGACCAACCCTTTCCTCTTTTTATTGAGAAGGGGGAAAGAAGTGATAAGCAATCTTTACACTGCTTCCTCTCTGAAGTTACTTGATACACTATGGGGCATGCAGGGCTCTTAAGGAATGAGCAGATGTCTCTGGGTTTATAATTCTCAAGAAGACAAATGCCCATCTATGCCCTTCCTTGGTTAAATTTTTGCCTTTTTTTTCTTCAAAGGAACCAGAGAAAGTTCCAGGAATTTCCATAAGTGAAGAGCATGGGGAAGCTACAGAGCATCCTTCATTTGCCAAAGATGGTAGTATACTCGCAGATGCAGAATTACACTCTGACTTGCTAACAGAAGAAGTAGTATCTGGTGATGAATATGAGTGCATATCCCCCGATGACATCTCCTTGCCTCCGCTTGCTGAAACTCCTGAATCCAACCTACCCCAGTCTGAGACAGAGCAGGATGAGCAGAATTGTTACAGCTCCCATAATATGCATGTCAGCTCTTATAGCTTGCAAATGCAAATAAACACCAGCGGCACAAGGCTGGTTGATGGTTCAGAACTGCTAACACCTGTTGCTTACACTGACGTGTCGAGTCACAGGAAAGAAAATACTTCCAGTAATTTGGAGAGATGCTCTTCTCCCACTATTGGATACAAAACAGTATCACCTTTTTCACACCACTCGACAGTAGTCAATGAAGCGCGCTATTCTCTAAGTACTTCACCTGCCAAAGCAAAACCCAGCTACCACTTGAACGAAGTGCATGAAACTCATTTGCAGCACCGTTCTGTTTATGAGAGCACGGAAAAAACAGACCAATTGCATGCTTCTGATATTACCGCTACAACTAAAGATAGACTGCATGTTACCCCAGATGAATTCTCTGGTCTCATGTTTCAATCAGACACTGCCAAGACCTGCCAGAGGCATACAGTTACCCAAGAGGCAATTAAAAGTGTTTCAGAAATGCACAGCAATGTTATCCCAGCAGCTCAGAGTCCTGGGTTCGCCAAGCACCTGCCTAATGTCACTGTTAAGGAAGGCTCTCCAGTGACTCTGGAAGTAGAAGTTACCGGATATCCAGAGCCTACGCTTACCTGGTGGGTAGCCTATAATGAAGAAAAAATATAGTGTTAGAATTTTTGGAATGCTCCTTTGATTATGGTGTTTATGTATTGTGTGTGTTGCAATAACATTTCATCATCAGTGGTCCTGAAACTAGCCCTCAGGGATCTTCTAATGGACTTTTGCTAGTATGTGCCACATTTTATGACTTGACACCTATCAACAAAATCAGCGGGTTACATTTTTTTGTACATAGATCTCATTTTGGTGGCTTCTATGGAGGTATATCCCATCAATCAGTATTGGAGGGGGTAATGCAAACAACTTTTGTCTTTCTAAAAGTATCAAATCTTTTAAAGCAAGACTAAACAAACAAACATCAACTGCTAAGTGTCCATTTAAGCAGGTACTATATGGTGTCAGAACATAGAGCTCAATCCGCAATGACCATGCAGCCCCACAATTTAAAATGGACTACAGCTACTTTACTCAAATGAAATAGGAATGTTCATATCCCCCCATCCTGATATGAAGAGCTTATGTTTGAGCATCTCTTTGCTAGGCCTGAGCAATTTCATGTGGAGGGTGGCAGGGGACCTTGTTCATGCAGGTACATATTCTTAGAAAATCCTTATTTACCAGGTACATTTGTAGAGCTTTGTAGGCCTTGTGGATGGACAGAGGCTTAAATGAGCAGTATGTCCTGGGCACTATTGGATTTCAAAACATGTTTTGAAATCCTTTTAAATTAAAAATTTGTGCACTTTCTGTCATTTTTATTCCAAATTTGTGCACTTCCCTTTTATGTTGTCACTCTACATTCCACAATTACATGTAATCCATAGTTTAGACTTGAAGATATCCTCCTAAACCACTATGGGGTCAGTTCACAAAACAATAATGCATTATGGGTTTTCATTCTCCTGCGCTATATGTTCATTTTTACTATCCAACCTTTTTTTTGCAATCCACTAAAAGAGTTATCACACAGATCAAATTTCACAGTACATTAAATGTTACCACACAGACTCTGCTCATTAAACCACCACCAACCTATTGCTCTTGTGAACAATAAAGTTCTATATAGTGTCTTTCAAGAGTGCAGAAAAGGCCATTTAAAGAGGCACAGTCACTTTGACCGTTCAGGGTAAAGTGATGGTGTCTGTGTATAGTCACCCACCAACCTCTGACACTCACCTTTCTAGCGATCTCCCTCTGCTCCTTCCTTTATTACAGTGTACAAATAAGTCTCAATGCTTTCAGGTATGGGGGAACATGTGACCTCCTGCTATAGTGGTCATGTATTAGTGGGTGATATCGCAGCTCCCTCTAGGTTCTGACACCAGCTGACAATGGATATTTTAGTGGTGGTGATGATGGAGGGAAGAGTGACTGTGGATCACTGGAGTGGTATTATTGGTTGGGGGTAGCTTTACACAGACACTGTCACTTTGCCCTGAATCGGCAAACTGACCGTGCCTCTTTAAAGCAGGGATGAAACAATGTTTCAGGAGGTAAAATAAAAAGAAATGCAGTTTGCAGTAATTAAATATCTACTTGATGTAACAAATAGGACTCCACACCCACTATTACATAATATTTATGAATGTGAACTCAACATTTTTATGGGAATTTTGTGATGTAGTAAACTAACTTTTAGGTACCGCTTAGTGAATTGATCGCACTGTATCTTTTGCCAAAATAAAATCTATAAAGGTCAAAAGCAATTGGCCATATTTATCCCACTAGTATTGTCCAACAGGTTGGTCACATTTTTAGAAGATCAGATTTTCACAAATACATTTTCATGTAGTTCTGCTGGAGTGAATAATAATTTATTTTACAAGCCAATGGCTCGTGCTAGAGCTCTTACAAATTATATTGATATGTGAAACACAGGTTTTTAATAAAGGTTGTTATTTAATAAAATGTGTGTTATACTTTTGTTTCATGCAAATATAAGCAGACATGCATTTTCTGCAAGAATGTGATTTCTCCTCACTTTCAGGAAATTTCTTTTCACTTCCTGTAATATTTATGAGGGAGGAAATTTGCCCAATGGGGATACTTACAAACAAATATAACCTTTCCTCACTCTGTCCACATTTGACTTTTTAGAGGATAAAAGGACACCATTTATAATAAAAGGAAATTATTAACTGGTCCAGAGCCTCTAAATGAGTGGCTATGTTTAAAAACTTAATATGGAAAACTTTCTATTCAGAATGCCACCTGTAGGCATTTGATCCATTAAAGAGCTGCCCCATGAAGACTGCTGATCTGATGAGCGGTGAGGGAAATATTCAAAAAGCATCAGGAAAGGTGTAGAAAATATAAATCCACAGAATGGACAAAGCAAATGCAAGGAGATCCTTGCACTGCAGGTCCTCAGGTACAGTTTTCTCTCCATGAAGAAAAACAGTACAGTTGGGACATAACCAAATCTCACTCCAAATCTCAAGACTAGCAGTCAAAAGCACAGTACCTTAGATTCACACTGCAGCTCTGAGGCTGGAGGCACAGGAAGTGCAGTGAAGTTTTTCAGGATAAATTTAATTCAAAGGGTTGTTTTTTTAGGGTAGTGCTTAGTCACAATTAACAATATCTAGATGTTCCCTATAATGTAGCAAAGGCTTTTTGAATTCAGATCAGATCAGAATGTCAGCGGCAACTATGGTTTTGTATTTGTATTTTTTGCAAATAACCCACCAGATGATTTGTTTAGGTTTTTTCTATTCTTCATAAGAAATATGAATACATTCTGAAAAGGCATATCTAAATATTTCTGACATTTTAAAACACAAAAAGCTGGAAAAGATTGGACTGAGCATGGAAATGGTTGTTTTGGAAGTCTAATTTAACCACATAACAAATCTCAGGCCCTCCAGCTGTGGTGGAACTACAAATCCCATGAGGGATTGCAAGACTCTCACAGCCACAGACATGACTCCCGAAGAGAGATGCATCATGTGATTTATAGTTTCACCCCAGCTGGAGAGCCAGAGGTTTGCTACCCCTGACCTTTTGGGCATGTACAAATTACATCTGTTTTTTGACACAATTTTCTTTTTTAGTAAAAATATTAAATGTAATCAGATCGCCAGCCATTAGTAAACTTTATATCTACCTGTTCCCCATTTTATAAACTGATAAAACAGCTCTGATGACAAAACTAATAGCATTTGGTGCAAGCAACCAATCATGTTAGCTTTAAAGGGGACCTATCAGGAAAGAAATATTGAGCTTCCTTTGCTGCCCTGTTTTTAAAGATTACAGTGTTCAAACTCTCATCTTTACTTCACTGCTCAGTGTATCACTGACCTGGAACAAGTATTTGTATATTCCATATCACAACATGCAAGCAAACAACAACAGGCAAAATGCAGTAAAAGTTGGCCATAGACTTCAAAAAGTCATCAGGTGTGAAGCCATGATCTGGCCCCCCAAAGATATTGAATGATTGCCCAAGTATGCAGATTTATAATAGTTAAATCATTAAAAATCTGCGTGGCCTATAGATAATTTAACCTTGGAGATCATTCCTGTTAAATTCCTGGGCACCCAACTTGCGCAGTTACCCTAACTCAACATCCTGTCAGTAAAAAACTTCCACTGCTCAGACTTGATAAGCATAAAATCTAATTGGGTGGTAACAGTCAATACATTTTGTGAAAACCAGCTTTTAATACTACCTGTAACGTCATCACCAGGTTTGTAAAACTAGCTGCTAGGAGGAGAGATCAGCAGGGTGCTTTAAGTCTGTTTCTATTGATTTAAGCATGCAGATAGGGGCAGGGATTACTAGGGGTTTGTACTTCACAGAGGAGTTCTCAGGTAAGGATGACAACACGGCTTGGGATTTCACTGTTTAGTGTACCACAGGCAGCTTTGGTAACCCACAACAGGAAGTTAGGAGCGCTGAAGTTCTTGCAGGATCATCAGATATTACTTGTTGCTACTTGTAGTGTTTCAAAGGAATAGAATGTGGGAAAATGTGCATTTATTAAAGATGTACCCCATGTGTTTGTTCGGGTTTTTTTAAACGTTGATATTTACTTATGTATAGAGATAGAAAATGTTAGCAGTGTGTACTATTGTTTCCTGACCAACACTTTGATGAGGGCTGGTTTGGTTTGATGGTAGGAAGGACATCTATCTATTTTTATACATTATGCCTGCAATGGCTTTTGACTCAAGGGGTCCGGAAAGACTTCAGAAAACATAATAACCTACAGATGCCATTAGGTGACCTAAATATATTAAACTGCACATAGCCCTACATTATACATGACATAACGGGACGGTAATACCATCATTTCTGAATTATTATTGATACTGTCAAATTTTAGAAACTCTTTTAACATTTTAGGATTTTGCATTTTGAACCTGACACAAATACTAACTCTCTACTTCAGGTACAGAAAGAATATGAAATACTCCACAAATGATCATGGAAACAACAATGGAAAGCAAACCAGTCACACTTTCATCATTCAAGAGCTTTGTAAGAAGGATTCTGATCAGTTAATTGCTCAAACCTCTACCTATAAAGCCGCTGTCACTTCTGCTGTTGAAGCCAAAATCAAAGGAATAACCCAACCCATTTTAGCAGTCAACTGGATAACCTTGTTTGTCATATATATCTGTGTCTCAGTAGTATACTGGATGTTTTCATAGCAGAATTTAACAAAATTAGTTAAATTATGTACAGGGTACAGTTCCTGGCAATATAAAATAATGTTTACGGATGTTTGCTTTTGAGATAGAAACTGTGCACCAAACGCCTTTGCAAACCTAAATATTACCATGTAAAAGAAGTAATGACATCATTACAGTGGTGCACATAACCTGTGCAGAGAGCAGGCCCCACCCACTACAGGCTGCCTGCAGAAAACTACAGGAGGGCCGGATACAAGACAACTCACCCTGCACAAGGAGAGAGAGCAGCAGTGGAGATCTTTCCTCTTTTCCTGTCTGGTGAAAAAGTGGTCACCAGGACAGTGAGTGAAGGGAAAATCTCTCTAATAGAACCCCAGTTAGAAGGTAGAAGTAAAACCCAACAGAGGTTATAATCACTGCTCTTTCCAATACTAAAAAAAAATAAAATACAGTTTTGGCTGCATATTCACTTTAAGTCAAACACACAATGTTGTGTCAAAGGACCAAAGGGTGCATTTTTCACATTTGTAAAGCTGCTTGTGGATATTTATTCCCAATTTCAGTCAATTTATATTGTTTCTGGATAAAAGAAGGGTTAAAACCTCTGTCAGGTTTTTATTGCAATCAGGGTACATTTCCCCTCCCTTTTGCTTAGGAGATTAAGTGATGGGAAACAACTGCAGTTAAGACACAGAAAAAAACAAACATTTTTAGTAGAGTAAGGAAGGGTTAGAACCACCAACATAGTTTTTCTTGCTGTCTGTGCCTTCATTTTTTTGGTGATATTGGAGACTGCTCTTTCTTGTACCGCTGTCACAGGGATTGAATGTTAGTGAAAATCTTCCCAGTGGAGTCACAGGCAGCAATAAAACCTGACTGAAATTTGGATCGAGAGCCCCGCTGGCTCTCAAAACACATGAACAATGCCTGCATCCAATCAGATTGTTCAGGTATTTTGACTGCCAGCGGGGCCGACTAGCAGAAACTGAAGCTTGGCACAGCAGGAGATTCCTCCATCCACACGATTTAGCTTAGATAGAGGAATCTGTTGCACTTTTTCCATCTCGCCATAGAAAATCTGCAGATAATCTATAGGTGTATGGCCAGCTTTACTCTAACCAAAACAAAAGAGCTTGAGAGGCTTAAAAAGTATCTTTCAAAAAAAACGTATTCAGTTTTTGGTAGATTTTGAAGGGTTAAACCACTTCCATTTTTCTTATATTTCTTGGTGTGATTTTTGCACATGAGTTCTTCCTTCTGCACACCTGCTGTGGCCATTATAAAGGTTCTCAATCTCTCTGAAGTACTGTATATTTTTATTATGAAGAACAGGAGCTGCTGGAGCATGGGAACTGGGCAGGAACAGACAAAACTCATGAACAGAATCAGGAATTGTGGCAGGGAGATCTTGGTGTTGGAGTATATAACACCCCAGGGCTGACCAGGTTCTACCCATAACTTAAATATCACTCTTGTGTGCAGTGACTCAAACTTAGAAATACATATGGCTAACAGACCAGAAATAAACCGATGATTCATAGAGATAGAATCCATGTAACACTTGGTCAGCTTGTAAAAGTAAGTCTTCATAATCATGTCTTGCAATTTCACAAGAAAACGAATTGGAACGTAAGTTAGTGTAAGTAAAACTGTTTAATAACATACAGAACATCATGGGGTTTTACTTAACTGGGGCCTTATCTCCCAAGTGTTTGTAATGGTGACTAAATTCAGTGATCAGTAAGAATATTTGCTGATAAAGCAGTATTGAAAAGAAAAACTTTACACCATATGTCACCTTTTCTTTATCTTGCAAAGCAAAAATGTATTATAATGAGGTTACTGAATGTTAGGTGACCTTGTTGTACTCTGTAATGGATTCTTTTTTTAAGGGTAAGGGTAAAGGTAACTTTCCCACAAAGTTTCCCTAACTTTTTGCCTGCACCCACCCCTCTAGCATTGCCCCCCAAATCGTTTTACTCACCTAGATCTCTCTCCCAGGCCCTCGGCATTGTTCACATCTCTCTGCTGTCTTCTTGATCCTATGTCCATGCCAGCACAGTTCGGCCCCAAAGGCTTCTATGGGGTTGGTAGACTGGTAGGAGCTATCTAGGGGACCGAACTGCACAGAAGCCAGCAGAGTGATGTAAACAATGGTGAGCATCTAAATGAGGTCTAAGTAAGTATACCAATTGGGGGGGGGGGGGAATGGGCTAGACCTACCTAGGAGGGTGGGCAAAGAGGTAAGTAAACTTTGTAAAAAAATGTTTCCTTTCCTTTTAATGCACAAGTACCGCTTTATAAATATTCTTTATACAACCATGGATTCTTCATTTTGCCAGTTATATTTCGTTTCATTTATTTAACCTTTTTCTGTAATTTGCTGGTTGCCAGGAATTTTCTGTTGATACATGGTACACCGATGTAGGCAGATAAAACTGCCTGATCGTAACTCGTAACTGCCATTGGAAATCTGTGAAAGACATGCTGTGGTGGTGGTGCCGACTCTTAAGACACTGACAGCTAGCATATGCCAAGGAGGAAACATTTCCACTCTACTTTTTTGTTTGTTTTTTATTTTAATTCATCCACATATGTACAACTGCAAGAGAAATTGGGAACCCACACATTTTTATTTTTTTAACAAACAGGACTGTTTTTTTAAAATTGCATTGACGTTATATTATTCGTTTAGATGCAAACAGCAAAGTTTTTGAGCTGAGGAAGTAATGAAGAAAGTAACTGTACTTGCATGTGTTTGTTGTACATTGGATAGCACAAGTAGACTGAGATGGAAAAGATCTGAAAAGTGTACACCTAAAAACAAGGTTGCGGGACATGGACATCCCTACCTACAAATTCATGTGGGTCCTTGTGTAAGATCGAAAACCTGTATCTGGACTCTTTAAAAGATTGTCAGTTTAAGAATACGGAAAGCTACTGACGAGTATAAAGTGGAGTTACCCAGAAGTCCCTACACATACCTGCAGATGTTTTTACTATTCGGTTTTGTCTTAATGCCAGTGTTGTGATTGGGTAAAGTTTCAGCATTACTTCTTAGTGTCTACACTTTAAACCTGTTATCTTAAAGTGACAGAGTCTCTTTATCACTATTGTACAGTGGATAACTACGGTCACATATGATAACTAATATGAGATTTTAGCTCCGTGGTGCCCAACCTGATCCCCAAGGACCACATTTGGCAATTTGGCACTTGCTTTGAGACCCCAGTGGTCAGAATATGAGCACTGTTTTGCAAAAGGGCAGTAATCAATAGTGGCTTCATGCAACATGTCCTCAGTCTATGGCACTTGTAGCACAGTCTGTGATCAACATTACCTCTAGTATGTCTTCACATATATTGAACATGTAGCATCTGGTGCTGTTAGAGGTCACAGTTGAGGCCCCCATAGCTCATAATTTGAAAACCCCTATTTTAGTTGAAATGTTACTTCCCCGTGTATTAAATACTATGGAAAAAAACTGTTACACGATACCAGGGGTGGGCAACTCTGGCCCTCCAGCTGTTGTGGAACTACAAGTCCCATGATGCATTGCAAGAGTGACAGTTACAGGCATGACTCCCAGAGGCAGAGACATGTTGGGATTCGTACTTAAAGCAGAGCTGGAAGGCCGGAGTCGCCCACCTCTGCTCTAGACTGAATGGAGCCATTTAGAGACAGCCATGATTCTGTGGTCTGTGGTGCACGCTGAAACTACAGGAGCACAGCAGCTTTTTTTGTACCAGCGGAGGGGCTGTTCATACTCTCAGGAATATGTTAAATGACACCCAGTTATGTATACAGGTGAACACGGAAGGATCTAGCTGTAGCACACAGTCAGCACAACACTAATTTATTTAAATACTGTGTCAATTCACACAAAAAAACTTATTACACTCTTGTATACTATATGATATGTTGGCTTCAAGCAAAGACCCAAACAGACTGTGAAAAAGTTAACAGTTACCTGTTTAAAGCAACACTTACTTTACATTTTTCACATATGATAACTAATAAGGGGGTAAATGAACAGTTATAAAAGAGATGAGCGGGTTGGTTATTTGTTTATAGAAAAGGTTATTATGGATACAAATCTGAATGATTTTTCAGTGTTCTTTTTTTTCAAAATAATGGCACAAAATGTAGGTCCAACTAACAGTTGATTAACAAGACTAATTTCTAGTTTATGTAAATGAGAACATTGGTCTAAGAGTCAGTTTATAATCTTTTGGTATATGTTACAGTATCAGCTTTAGTCTGTATTGAAATCATAGCATGTTAATACATTGATATGTGAAATGTTAACACCTGTAATGTTTTACAAACAATGCCATTAAATAAAGCTTATTTTGATAAATATTGCAGTGGTGTGTACCTTACTAAGCATGAGAAGAGAAATATCCTCTAGATTTAATGATGGTGTTTTAATATCAACCTGGGGTCAATCAAGCCAAGCTCTCCTACGAGGAAAAATATAAAGTTGGAGTCATAAACAAAAAGAAATCAGTAGTGTATTTTCAGTTTGTATACATTTTGAGTTATCATTTTTACCGTCATGTAACTTTTGATGTGATTTTGACATCAAACTATTTAGGGCCAGTTGCTATGTGATGCACAGGGCTCATAATGTAAAGACCAAATTCCTTTACCTTCCCTGACTGAGCCAAATCCTAAGGCCCCATTCCCACTAGGGAGGATGCGTTTCAGCGCGGTTTCCGTGCAAATTTTAAAAGGGTGGTTTTGTGCATTTCTAATCACATTTCAGCGCTGAAATGCAATAAAAAAAGCCCAGAAACATGTTGATCAGCGCATTTCCATTATTTGTGTCTCATATGCTCCCCCTCCCAGACACTGCAGCCCACAATTTCAGCAACATAGGCAGTACTGTCAATCCAGAAAGCAGTGGGCAGGACTAGGTGGGATCAGGTACTAACTGACAAGCTAATGGCGTGTGAATCAGCAGAGATAATGCTTATAGCCAGGCCACCTCCAACATTTCTTCATCCCTGTAATGC